ATAAGCGTATCTCACTTTGACAAAAAGCAAATAAGAAAAGAGAGAGAAAAAAAAAAAAGGTTGACAGCGAAATGCCGATATGCGCAGCAGGCATGATGTTGGCCCGTGTCGCCGTGATTTAATTAACCGCGTTTTATTTATTTACTCCGAAAAAAAAGCAAGAAAAACAACCAAAATCATAGCCAGCCAGCAGTACGGGCATTGGGCGAGGCGAGCAGGTCCGCCGGTCCACCGACAGCACTTCTGTCGAAATGATGAAAAAAGAGAGAAGGTCGCACAGTTCGTTGCGGTTGACGTTCGCGTGCGAGTGAGTGAGAGCGCGTTTTGCAGTGGAGTGCTGCCATGCGCCGAGGCATTCCCTCCGCAGGAACGCGAAACGACCAAATCATGCCCCGCAGTACGGGCATTGGGCAGGGGGCCCAGGCCGCCGGCCCACCGGGGGACAGCACTGACGGACAGAAAAAAAAGAATAAGGCCCACTATTCTTGCGGTTGCGTTGGGCCGGCCCAAAGTGGTAGAGGGTTTTGCGTATGCTGATGCGCCGGGTCTGTACACTGTACAGTCTGAACAAGACTGACTCTTCGGCTCCCCATTTTTGGGAATGTGGCCGGGGCCGCGGCCGGGGCCTGCGGTGGCCCCGGGGGGGCAGCGGAAACGGACGGACATAAATTGAATTCAATTTTTGCCCTTCTGGGCCTTTCGCGGCCCTGGCCGGCCGAATCGGTAGAGGGTGGGCGTATACGTGATCCGCCCGGGGCCCGTACATCGGTTCATCTGCTCCCTTTCCCGCGGGCCCAAATTGGTTGCTTCCGCCTCGCCGCGTTGCCCCCGTGCCTCGCGGTGTGGTCCGACCCCTCGGGACAAAAGCGGCCGGAGCGCACAAAACGGGGCAAAACCTTGGGGGCGGGGTATGCGAAAAGGCTGGCCGCCCGGGCTTGAAGGGCTTACGTTTTTGACAATCAAGCGTAGGAAGTTCCTCCCATGCTTTGATTCGTGGCGGGGGCAAATGGCTGAACTCGTGCTTGCCGCCTCCCGTCGTTCTCCCTCTCTTGCAGCCCTAGGGAAAAACGCGGTTCTAACGAAACAGGGTGCCATATGGGAAGGGCGGGCCTATCTGGCCCCAGCAGGCCTCGCTATCACGGGGCCAGGTTGCCAGGTGGGCGGCACAGTGTATGTGTCGTCCTTGGAGGGCGAGCCAGGGCGGGCCAGGGCGGGCCGCACAGCGCACCGCACAGCGGGCCGCATAGTCCGACCCAGGATTAGACTGGCCGGGTGGGCGGCAGTGCTTCAAATCCTGTCCCGCTCCCACCGGGCGCTGGACGTGGCTGGGATGGCTTGGGATGGCCTGGTCGAGCTGGGGGCCTGGCCTTGGCAGACCCAGGCCGTCGGTAAGGCTTTTTCCAAGTAGACCCCCTGGCTTGCCGCTGGCCCTCTTGGCTCGCGCCTCGCGCCCCCGGCTTGGCTTCTTCGGCCGACCCCACTATACCGCCTTAATTCTTTTACGCTGCACCTGTCTGCTGCCCGTCCGCTGCCCCTTCCCTTGGCCCGCCCCGCGGGGGGAACACTCACGCCCATCCCTCGATCGCTCCGCAGTGCCCGGCCTGTAAGTTGCGGCCGCTTCTTTCGCTCGCTTTATTGTGTAGGGCCCCTTGGCCGAAGCCAGCGCCGCCGCGACCTCCACGGCGCTACTACACCTTTATCGCTCGTCGGCATGTCGGCAGGCACGACCAGACACCTTCACGTCCATCCACCCAGCCCTTACAAGTCAATGCCTGTTATGTCCAAAGGAATAGCGACAAATAAAAAGTCGAGGCGCCGCGGGGAATCGAACCCTCAACTCACTCCATAATCCAGCCGAAAGCCACCCCTCGTCCACATCCGCTCGTCCATTGACGATTACGTGGCAGTGTAACGACGCAGTATAGTCGACCCCGCCCCGCAGCCCTGCTAGGCCGTATCCGAACGGCGCTCTCGTCGCTCTGTCTCTCTCGCACTCCTGCGGCGTCCCGTCGCGCTGCGAGAGAGACACTGTCGTCCGGAATGGCCCTCGGGCCACTCGGGCTGCTCTGTGGATTGGAATGGAATGTGATTAACGAACCATTAGAGTCGACCGGCCGTGCGTTAAAGGGTCGCGTTTTACCGTTTTACCCGCTCGCAGCTCGTTGTGTCGCCGACAGGGCGATTTCGAGCATCGCTCCTCTGTCTCTCTCGCACCCCGTTCCGTGGAGGTGCGAGAGAGAGCGCGGTCGGGGCCGTGGTCGCGGCCGTCGCGCCGGCGGGGAGGCTGCAGTGCAGCGGACAGGGCTGGCTGGGCTGGCTAGGGCAGGTCGCTCGCGGTCATCGCCAACGTTACGGTGGAGTGGGCGGGGCAGGCAGGCCTCGGTCGATAAGATGCCGTTTTGTCATCGCGTTGCGGCGCTGGCACACTGCCGCTCTCAAAGGCGATCCCGTCTGATCCGATCTGGTAATGACAGCTGAGCCGCCGCCACAAAGTGCCTCAAAGGGACCGTGACTGTGGCCACGTCGCCGACCCAGGACCCGGGACGGTCCGGGACCCGACTAAGGGCGAGGACGGCGACACACAGCAGGACAGAAGACCGGTGGCGGCGGCCGAAACTCTAGACGCGCTTTGAGCTCCAGAGTCGCTAAACAGGACTCGAACCCAACGTATGGCCTCACCAATCGATTCCTTGTTCGGAGTGCAATCCATTGGTGGGGCCACGTGTTCAGTTCGAGTCTCCTTTAGCGACTCTGCAGCTCAAAACGCTTCACGACTTTTGTCCGCCTTCACCGGTCTTCTGGCCCAATGCGACATGGCGACGAGGCCGCCCACCGAATGCTTTTCACGCATTATGCTCGACAGCGTGAGCCGCGAGGCCTTCCGTGGGGCGTGACTTTCGGACTGCGGTTGCCTTGCCCCCACTTCACCGGGTCGTTATCGGCTGGCATCGGTCGCCGTGAAATTCACTGGAAAGTTTTGCGCTGCAGACTGATTCTGAGAGTCGTTTCGGCCGCTCTGTCTCTCTCGCACTCCTGGGGCACCCCGTGTAGGTGCGAGAGAGAGAGAGAGGCCAAAACGACTCTCGGAACCAGTCTGCATGGCGTGCGTCCTCGACGCGGGACGGCCCAAACCGAGGCCCGACGAGCATCACCCCGACATGAACCGCAGCGCCAGCACGGCCAGCACGGCCAGCACGGCCAGCCACACCAACCAGTCGAATCTAGCGGCCCAGCGCCCTGCCGGCCCGCCCCGGCCTCCTCACAAACGTACTGAATGTAATCTCCATTCCCACAGAGCAGAGCACCACGCCGGCCGGCAGCGTGCCACACCGCACCGTGTCGACAGAGTCCCCGCAGCGGTCAGCCCCCCCCCCCCCCCCCCCCCCCCGCCACCACCACACCCGCCCACTAGCCACCGCTTTGTGTGTAATGGGATAAATGGTACGTTCCGATGGCAGGGCGGCAGGCAGGGTGGAGTGGTGAGAGGGCGACGGGAAACGGGGGAGGGGGAGGGCCTTTACAATGTGTCCCACACGACCGAAATCCCCGCCCTCTCTATAGTCGCTGTGCCCGGGACCCCCCGGCGGGGGCGGGCAGGGGGCGGGGGCAGTGGGGCGCCACCGCACTGCCCACAACGCCAGGGCTAACGCAGCTAACGCAGCCTGCGGTGCCGGCCGGTTGATTGCCACCGGGGAGTGTTTTCGGTGCGGCCTGCGGCCTGATTCCGAGAGTCGTTTTCATCGCTCTGTCTCCCTCGCACCTATCGGGACGCGCCGCGAGTGCGACAGAGACAGCGACGAAAACGACTCTCGGAATCAGGGCCGGCGCGGAGTGGGGCGCGTCGAGCGGCGAGGTGCTAACGCACTTGCTAATGCAGTGGAGCGGTGAAGCGGGGCGGAAAGCGCACACGGTGAATCAAGTTGGAACCGCTTTGCCCGCTTTGCCGTTCGCGTCGCGTCGCCGGAGGATTACAAAGTGAAGCGGAGCCGTCTTGGAGGTGGAGCGCGGAGCGCCCTGTGGTTGTGGCTCGGCGCCCACTGTGCGCACTCATCGCGGGGCGGGGCGGGGCGGGGCGGGGCGGGGCGGGACTCCCATCGTCGGTATGCGATTGCCGTGCGGTGTGAGGGAGGGTCTGCCTGAAATGCTGACGAGGCGGCTGCCTGCTTGCCTGCCTCCCTGCCTGCCTCCGGGGCTGGCTGCCTCCGTGCGGGACGAATGAGGAATGTGTTGTATCCAAGTGGGCGAGCCCGCACCACCATCCGACCCAACTCACCGCGGGCAACATTTCACCCCAATTCGCACACAACCGCACAGCCCCCTCGCTGCCCCGCCTGGCCCCGCCCCCGTCATCAGCCCCTGTCGCCGTCGTCACCGCCGTCGTCGTTTAGGCGCAGTCAGGGGGTTGTTTTCCTTTTTGCTGCGAGGGGGCGGGGCCGCCAGGGCCGCCCCGGTGGGTTGTCGCGACTAACAATGCCGTCTCGCTGAGCGCGGGGCACGCGACGGGGAATGCAGGGGGTGGGGGGCGGTCTGGGATTCCAGAGCATTGGGAATGCCCTGCCTGGCCCTGCCACTGTGTGACGCGGTGTGACGCCGGCGCTGCCTGGGCCCTGCCTTGGGAAGGGGATTACAGACCTCCTGGCCGCGAAGGCCCCCCTTGCCCGCCGGCCTCGGCCGGGAGCGGGACTGCCTACCTACACGGCGCTTCGGCCGCAGACTGATTCCGAGAGCCATTTTCGTCGCTCTGTCTCTCTCGCACCTAGCGGGGCCGCCCCGTGAGTGCGAGAGAGCGGCTCTCGAAATGAGTCCACAGCCTCGCGGTGGAGTGCGGTAACCTGCGCGAGGCTTTCGGAGGCCCTCCGAACAGGAGCTCGCCGACGAGGGAGACGTGGAGACGAAAAGGGAGGCGAGGCCCTGACGGCCTGACGGTCCTGATCATGTTGCAGCCGATGCTGGCCCAGACGCGGCGCGCGGCCCCCGGCGGTTCCAGCGGCGCCGACGGCGACCCCGCCGCGACGCACAGCCACAGCGGCCCCGCCGAGTACTACAGGCTGCGCTCCTTCTCCATCACGCCCAGCGGCATCTTCAACCTGGGGGACTCCTTCCGCTCCAGGCGGTCCCGTTCCAACGGCTCCGTCGCCTCCACCACCTCGTCCAACAGCGACGACCTTCGCGAGCTGCGCGACCGCCTGCCAAGGTCGGTCTCTGGGCTCGGGTTCAAGTCACGGCGAGTGTTTTTGTTTTTACTTTTTTTGTGGTCGGCCGCGCGCTCCTCGGCGCGCGGATTAATACCAGTGGCGTACCTCCCGCGGCCGGCCGGCTGTCTGCGAGGCTGTCTGCCGGTGCTGATGAGGGTCGAGGGCCTGATAGCACGCCGCGGCGCCGGCCTCAGGGACGCCGTCAAGCCCACGCTTCACGCCAAAAAAATAAAACAAGAAAAAGGAATTCTTTGAATAATTAGTCCCGTCTGCCTGCAGCGGAGCGTCCGTGTCCAGCGTGGAGGCGGGCCGGACGGCGGCGGCGGCGGGCGCGGCGGGCACCGCGGACGCGCCCAGGGTGCCCTGCTTCAAGGTGGCCATGCTCGGCGCGTCGGGCGTCGGCAAGACCACCCTCACGTACCAGTTCACCACCTCGGAGTACATCTGCGCCTACGACACCTCGCTGGGTGAGTCCAGGGCCACCACCCGTTCAACTCAACATTTTGCATGCAATGCATTGAGGGACTTGTCGCCTACTGTGGCGGCACTGTTGACCCGCTCTCTGATCCTCATCTTTACAATATGCGGACAAATTCTGATCCCTCTTAGAAGGCCAGGCAGTCTGCGTGACGGACAAAACAAAGTCCTAGTCCGGTCATGTATCTGCCTTGCACCTATACGGGACGCCCATCGAGTGCGAGAGAGACAGAGCGACGGAAACGATAGTCTCGGAAACGGCCTTCAGTGCCTCCAGCCCCACCTGCTGCAGCAAGCAGTGGCGGAGTAGCAGGAAGCAGGCTGATTCCGAGAGGCAGGTCTCTCTCGCACTCATGGGGCGCTCCGTCAGGGTGCGAGAGAGACAGACCGGCGAAAGCACTGTTCGGAATCACTCTGCAGGGCCCGACGGACAAGGCCCGGCGCTGGGGCTTGGGCTGAGTGGAGTGGAGTGGAGTGGCGCAGGGCCTGGCCCGGCCAGCCGACATGCCGAGCAAATATTAGAAGGCTTCCGCCAGAGCCCGTCTCCGTACTCGAGTTTCTGGGCTCGTGTTTTCAGATGTCGGCCCCGGCGGGATTATCACGCGCACGCACGCACGCACGCACGCCGCACTGCGCTGGCTCTGCCTGGCCCTGCCCTACCCCGTCCCTGTCGCTGCACTGCTGGCTGAGTTCCCATGGCAAACTGGGATCGGCACCGCCGCTTCTTGCGCTGAGCCGCAGACTGATGCCGAGAGCCCTTTTCGGCGCTCTGTCTCTCTCGCGCTCACAGGGCGTCCCGTGCAGGTGCGAGAGAGACAGAGCGACGAAAACGACTGCAGAGCCGCACGGCTGCACGCTCGACTTGCCGCGCAAAAAGCGGCACCATCCCCCACTCGGCCGTGGCGAGGCGAGGCGAGGCGAGGCGGGTAGTCCAGCCGCCGGACTTGAGTGTCGGAACGGAACGGTGGGAAATTGGACAAAGTGCTCGCCGTGCTGAGAGCTTGCCGTCGGCCCGGGCGCCGGGCCCCGGCGTGGTTAATGTATGGTGATGGCCTGGTGCCTGGTCTGGCCTGGCCGAGGCCCCGGCGGCGGACGACGCTCCGGCCGGGACGACGCGTGACGGCCGTGCCTTCATCACTCACACCGTCGCGTCCAAATCGCCAGCCGCCAGTGTGCTGCCCGCCCTGCGATCCCCACAGAAAAAAAAGGTCGCGCGGAATGAATCAAAACAAACAATAAGCTGGAACGGGCCAAGCCGTCGAAGCCTCGGGCGGCGGCCTCGTGCCTCGCGCGCCTGTCGTTATCCGGACCGTTGTTCCGCGGATTGAGTGGCGGTCGGGAGAGAAAGAAAGAGAGAGAGAGAGAGAGAGAGAGAGAGAGAGAGAGAGAGAGGGAGGAGGAAAGGGGACACGTCGCCATGACAACAGCTCCAAACGCGACCAATTTGGACGCGGCGCGCGGATTTGGGCCCATTTCACGAGGGCCCCCCGCTGTCCCCCCGCTGGCCTCGCCTCGCCCTGCGACTGTGTCGCCGCGTTTGCGTTCTCCCCGAAGCACCCTTTCCTGCCGGTGCCACTGTCACGACTGCCTCTGGCAACAGGCCGTCACAGTCACTCGTCACAGCCGCGTCACGAACGAGGAGGTCTATAATTAATTCGAGGGCTCCCTCGTGCAAGGAGCAAGCGACCTTTCTTTTGTTTTGGCTCGCCAGCCTCCTGCAGTTCGTCTGCCACGCCCTCCCCTTGTTGTTGTTGTTGTTGTTGTTATTTGATAGCCGCCATGTAGAGCGAGCTTATCACCCAGCAGGCTGATTCCGAACATAGAATTCGTCGCCTCGTCCTTCTCGCTCTCGTCCCGTGGGGCGCGAGAGAGACAGAGGACCGTTCGCGATCAGGCTGCATGCACGGCGGCGGCGGCGGCTTCGAGTGTCGGCCTTCCTCGCCACGACGCCGACGTGACAAGGGATGAGGCCGCCGCCGCGCCGCCACAAACAACAACAACAACAACAACAACAACAAAACACCAAAAAAAAAAAAACGGGGGAAACGCTGACGAAGCACATGCATGGCACAAACACTAGAGCGCGGCAGCGGTCCCTGGTGGGTCGGCGTCGGCGGTCGGTACCTGATGACGCTGCTTCTTTCTCGAAGTCAAGAGCAGCGCAGAGGAAATTGGGGCAGCGTTGGGGGGCATCGGGGCGGCGGCGAAGCCAGTGCACCGTACTTGAGCCGGATGGGGGGGGGGGGACGGACTGCCGATGCAGCAGCTTGCTTATCTACCGAATGAAAGCGATGGCGTTCGCTAATGATGCTGCAAGGAGCGGAAAATGCTGCTTTCTCTTATCTCTCCTCTCGCCCGCGGTCCCTGCAGGCATGATGCAGCAGCATGCCCTTGTGTGTTTCCCGCTAAACAGCAGAATGAGACTCTCCTATCATGACCTCCGCCTTTTTGGATTTTTTTATCTTCTCGGCTATCCTGCACCATTGGAACTTAAAATCGAAACGACATTTGAACCGAGACTCCAATGATTCGGAGTAGATAATCCGTGAAACCGACTGTCCCTCCATATAGTAACGATCTCCGCAGTTATTATTTTACGGTGGTTGGCAGCAGGGTGACATCACTGGCTTTGTATTCTGCCGGTGCGACCCAGTAGTCCCCTGCGGCACGCTGCGGCCGTGCCTGACCTGGCCTGACCATGGCGAGCTGGTGCGGCACTGCGGCACACCGGCCGATGAGGCTGCGATAGCAGCGATAGCAGCGATAGCGGTTATGAGCTGCCGATATGGAGCCTCGCCGCGCACGCCACCGCAAACAAAACGCCAGCTTGGGTGACGCTAGCCTGAGTGAGCTGGAGAAATGCTCTTGGCCTGGAGAATGGCTCTAGGCCCAGGGAAATGCTCCCTCTGCCAATGTCGGACACTTTCTGGAGAGTGGCTCGGCGCTGGGCGCGGTGGGTTCGTTATCGCCGCCACGTCTAAACCTCCTGGACCGCGAGCCACGCCACTGGCTGCCGCGCTGCCGCCGCGCTTGACGCGAACGTGGCGCTTTTACGACCCCATTAATGCCTTTACGATTGCGTCGTGGTGCATGACCGTGCATGACTGTGCATGACTGTGCATGGCGCCCCAGGCACGCGCTGCATCCCCATCCTTGTTTTCCTCGTTCTCGTTTCAAAGTTTTACGGCGTGGTTCGGGTCCCAAAAGACTCCCCTCCCTTCCATTTTTTTCGTTTTGAAGATTCAATTGCTTTTTTTTTCGCTAACGCCGAGGCAGGTTCTCCCGCCGGGACTGGAAACACATCCTCTGATGTGAAAATCTTTGATGTTTTTTCATCGTTTTTTTTTTGCGCTTGCTGCTCTGCCATATGGCAGTGTGCCGTGCATCACCTATGTGTGTGCCGCCCCCAGTCCGGCGCCCCCAGTCCGGCTAGGCGCGTCCACCGGGAGGACGCCACCCGCCCTTTATCCCGCTGCCGCGCTGCCGTGATCCTCGGGAACATGGTTTGTGTCCTTGCCGTCCTCGCCGCCCTTGCCGCGCTGCGGGGGACTATATAAAGCGGGGCCGCAGGTGAGGGAGGGGGTCGCTTTCATCGGGGAGGGGGCGGGGGAGTGGGGGGCACCGTCCCAACTTTGCATGTGTGTGCGTGTGTGATGTCGGGCGACGCTGTGTGCGCTGAACCCGTGATACGCGTATGAGCGCCCGCCCCGACTGCGAGCCCCTTGTGATTGTGTGTGGTGGGCGACAGGGGGTGGGGGCCGCTACCAGTTACCTTTACACCAAGTTATATCCGTCTAGCCTAGCGAGAAGAACACGGAGAACCGCACCTTTCAAAGGCGCCTCGTTTAAGTTTAATCATCCAAGAGTTTGGTTTTTTAATGAGCTCTTTGTGTTCGCGGGCGGGTGATTTCGTCTTTGGAAAGTACTTGCCCTGACTGTGTGTCTTTGCAGACGAGGAGTTCGGCCAGAAGACCGTGTCCGTGCTGCTCGACGGGCAGGAGTCGGACCTGGAGATCGTGGACCACCCCGCCGCCGAGATGTCGGTAAGAGGAAGAAACCCACCCCTCAACTCAACCAAAATTTTGGCGTTTTCTTAGTGGAATCCGGGCCCAAAAGTCCAAATTTTGGCAATCCAAACGGAGTGCCACTGGAGTTCCAAGGATTCTACAGAGGCAGAGGAACTGGTGTGGCGGCAGTGATGAACACTCCGCCGAGTATTTGATGCGCCCTGCCACCTCGCTGGCTGCCGGCGGCATACCATCCGCTCAGGACTGTGGGCTGTAACGTACCCCTCGCTAGTACTTTGCACGCCAAACTGGTGCAGCGAAGTGCCGGGCAGGGGAAGGGGGAGGGGGGAGGGGAATGGGACCCAGATGGGACCCACTCATTCATACGAGTCTGCCTCCTGATGTGACAGCTCGGCCTGGCGGTGGCAGCCAGGCTGTACTGGCGGCGGTGCGTGCGGAACGTGCGAAGGCCGTGTAGGTGCTGGAGGGTGTGGTCGTGCCGCCTGGCTGCCTGGCTGCCTGCCTGCCTGGCTGCCTGCCTGCCTGGCTGCCTGGCTGCCTGCCTGGCTGTCGAGCGGGCCGTCCGGCTGGACTAGCGCCTCATATCACTGCAATCTACCGAAGTGCCGTCGGACTCGTCGGACGGAGGGGCCGAAGCCCGGCTTAAGTGATACAAAGGGTTGGCACTGCAGATAGGAGCTGGCGAGGGGGAGGGTGGCGATGACGGTTGGAGCAGCACTGTAGGCTGCCACGAGGACCGACCGAGACGATGCGAGTACCGGCACGGCTGCCCGAACTCGAACTACGGTCGGCCGCCCCGCGAAAACTGGGAGTGCTTTTCGTTCTCTCCCTCCAGTTCGGAGGCGGCTTTGGCGGCTTTGGCGCGCCACGCTGCGCGCAGAGAGCAAGCTGTCTCCCTCTGCGCCCACTTCGCGCAACTTCCCGCAGGCCGCGGACCGCGCAGGCAATCGGATGCAGCTCTGGTGTGCTTGCAGGCGGAGGCGTTCTGCGCCACGTACAACCCGGACGTGTTCGTGGTGGTGTACTCCGTGGTGGAGCGGCGCACCTTCCAGGCCGCCGAGGACATCCTGCTGTTCCTGTGGAAGTCGGACTACATGACGACGCGCGGCGTGGTGCTGGTGGGCAACAAGGCCGACCTGGAGCGCAAGCGGGAGGTGTCCACGTCAGGTACGTCCACTGGTCCGCTGAGGCGATATTTAATGGTGTGCCCGTTACTCCGCGTCACAAACCCGGCCGAGCTTATCGGGGCCATACCCTTCACCACGGCACGAACGTGGAGGATTCCACGCATCCTGGTGCGCACAATCCGATCCACGTTTCGTGACGCGGTCAAAGGCAGTGGCCGCCCCATTTTGCGCGTTTGTTTTCCCAGTGGAGTCTCAGTCGCCGCTTTGTTTCACGGCCTCCCCTTCCTCCTCCCTTTTTTTCTGCGCTGCGCTGCCTCGGGGCGTGAGAACGACGCCGCTGCTAAGCTCCATTTGCGACTGGCGGCGCAGATCGAGACAAACAGAGAGCGAGTCGAATGGCGGCGCAAAGCCCAAGGCCCAAGGCCCTGGCCGAGGAGAAAATAGAGGCCCAGGCCCCGGCGGCCAAGGCCCGGTCCGCTCCGGTCCGCTCCGGCCCGGTCAGCGCGACGCAGCGCAGCGCGGGGAGCGCCGTGCTGGGCAGGCAGCCAGGCGAGCTGGCGACGCGCGTGTGCCGCGGGCCGGCCTACCCCGCGGGCTACCATTACCATTAAGGGCTAGACCACACTGCAGGCGCTCCCACCAGCATCGACGAGGCCAGCGGGGCGCGGCGGCTGTCTTTTTGCGAGCAGGGTTCTTTGTACCGGACTGCCTTGGTGCGCCGCCCCGCCCCGCCCCGCCCCGCCCCGCCCCGCCCCGCCCCCCCGCCCCGCCCCGCCCCGGTCCGCGTCCGCCTCAACAGTCGTTATCGGCGCGAGTCTGGATTGGCCATCGGCCCATGGTCCGCCCTGGGGCCGCCGTCTTCGGCGCCTCGCGGAGTAGGCTTCCTTTCACTTGCATATTAACGAGGCCTCGCCGGCCCCATCCCTCTCAGGCAGTCTGCTGGGCTTGTTTTCTGTGGCACCGGCCGAGGGGAGGGGGACGGCGACGGGTCCCACGCCAGCCCGCCCTTACCCACTGTAGGACTCTACCTTCCCCCGGCGCAGCCCAGCGCAGCCCAGCGCTGGCTGCCAAGTTTGTCTTGCCGTGGCTTCTTGCCCCGGCCAGACGGCGGGGGGGGGGGGGGGGGTACAGGGCGGGGTGGGGCGGGCCTACTGGGACAGCGACAGGAACCGGTATGAATAAATGAGCACAAAAAATGGATCCAGTTGACCGCGCTCCACGCTCGCCCAGGGCACCGAGCCGAACCGAGCTGGCGGCGCTACGTGTGTGTGTGAGTGTAGGTGATAGTCGCGCGTTCGAATACCAGTTCGCTCCAGCCTTCGGGCGGTAATTACTGTCACCCTCCCCCACCCCTTTCCAATGCGCGGCCGGCCCCGCGCCGACCCTCCCGTGACACAATTGGTTTAGAGCAAAATCGAGCGAGGGGCGAGGCGACAGGGTATGGCCGAGTATGGTCAAGCAACTACCGACCGAACCGTGCTACCCTGTGAGTGAGCCCACACACTCTTTCAACAGACCTAACAGACCCGCTGTCGTACACACACACCGAGACACACACACACACACACACACAAGAGCTCAGTGGGTTGGGTGCGCCAAATATATTAAAAGAGTCCACGATCTGGACGCAGTGAGGGTTCGATCCCCGACGACTCCGATTCTGCTGGAAACCTATTTCGCCCCGCGCGCACGCCACCGTCATAACTTTGATATGCTCCGCCACTGGGAAGAAAAGCGTCGCCGGGCAGGTGATCCGTCCAGCGGGCGATATTTCGAGCCACCGGTCCGTCCCTGGGCCCGTCCCTGGGACAGCCCCGATCGGAGGCCATCGTTTCGGCTCCTCCCAGGCAAGGCCCAGTGCCGTGGCCGTCGTGTGGGATCCCTTCCCTTTACCGCCTCACGCGGTCCCCCCCCCCCCTTTTCCCCCCCGGCCTCTTGAACATGCGAAGGGTCTCCCGGCTATCGCGGCCCGCATCGCACCCCGTAATGTTCCTCGATTTGGACCCCCCCAGGGAGGCGGCCGGCCTGGCCCCATATTGCATACGACACCGGCCGCCCCCTTACCGCCCCTCCCCCCAGATGGGTCCCCAGATGGCCCCTGTCCGCGTTGTGGTGGACGTCGTCCGTCATGGAGGGTTTCGTGGCGGATGATTTATTTATCAGAGGATTTGCGTTGCACTGGTAAGGGGGGGGGGGGGTAGACCGCGCGTTGTCTGTCCAGACCTAGGGTAGGGCGCTTGCTGTGGTCCGCTGCACAGCACGTCCTTTATTTCTCCTCCTCTCTCCTCCCCTTCCATTCAAGCGAATTGCCGCATTGGCCCGTCCCGCCTCCCGCGCGGGAGTGGCGCGCCGCGTGCCACGTGCGCGTGCGCCGGGTAGGAGAGGAGGCTAACTACTCGCCAAGGCCGGGTGGTCCGGCGTGGTCCTGCCGCGGGCCACGGCACCAGGACACCCGACTGATTCCGAACAGTGCCTCGTCGCTCTGTCTCTCTCGCACGCCATGGGTGCTCTGCAGGGGAGCGAGAGAGACAGGGCGAGGGAGCATCGTTCGGAGTGAGCCCCACTCGGCACTAGCAGTGGACATGGCCCGGCCTTGGAGCCGGCTGCTAACTACCACCCTCCGTCCCCCGAGGCCCGAGGGCTCCATCGACGGTCGCTCCACCTCGGGGCGTTTGTCACCCGAGACACTTACGGCCCCCTCCCCGTCATTTACGGCCCGTTGTTGTTCCAGAGGGCCGCCGCCTGGCCAACAGCTGCTCCTGCAAGTTCATCGAGACGTCGTCGGGCCTGGACCACAACGTGGACGAGCTGCTGGTGGGGCTGCTGGCGCAGGTGCAGCTCAACCCGCGGCGCGAGGCGCTGAGTCGGCGCAAGGGCCGTAAGAAGCGAGGCCCGCCGCCCACGCCCTCCAACAGTGGCGGCGGCGCGTCCACTGGCAAGCGCATCCTGCGCCACCTGCTGGGCATCAAGCGCAAGGCGCGCTCCTGCGAGAACTTGCTCGTCCTCTAGGCGCTCCATGGAGCCTCCAGCCCTCCGCCTCCTGTCTCGTCCATTGTGCCGAGCCGCGCCCCGCGCGCCACGTCCAACAGGCGTCAACTTGTCCAAGTGATGATTGTTTCCATCTCGCAGCTAAGGCAGTGTCTGGCCGCCTCGAGCCGAGGCCCACCGCGCCTCTCTTTCGGGCGGTGGCTTGGCTCTGCCGAGAGTGGAGGAGGGCGAGGGGGCTGTTGTCCTCTTCCCTTTCGAGAGAGAGCGAGACAGCACGTTCGTCCCGTCTGGCCTTTGTGCGCTGCCAGTTGCCAGTGTGCCTGTTGCCTAACCCCCGTGTGCCAATCCTTCCAGAATGCGGCGACGAGGCGAGGCGCTGCGATTAGCTAATGGATAGCTTACTGTGTTGTGTCTGCCCGGCAGACTCATTTCGAGAGTCGTTTCCGTCGCTGTCTCTCTCGCACTCACGAGGCGTCCCCTACAGGTGCCATAGAGACAGAGCAACGGAAACTACTCTCGGAATCAGTCGGCTTCCGAAGGCCGAAGCCGAAGGTACGGATCGGACTAAAGGAAAACAAGGGCGGGGGAATCAGGGACTCAATCAAAATTGTACCAGTGAAAGAGCTTTGCTTGGTGAAATTGTGAGAAAAAGGTATATTATTTTCCCAAATTTATTTTATATTGATGCATTGTACATTTGTAAATAAACATTCCATGGCTTCCTTATTTTTAAAGTACGCACAGAAAATAATGTATGGTCAAAGGCATCTTAATATAGAAGTTCAATCCATTTAAATCAAAATATATGACTGAATTTTGGAACAACAACGTCTCTGAATTATTCATTTCTTATTCCAGAACTAGATTGACTAAAATGACACACAAAACATACATAAAAAATAAATTACAAATAAATCAGTCTTAAGTTGAATGCTACTCTTTTTGGTCCTTAGATTAGAAATCTTTCATCAATCAATGTTTTCTTTGCCAAATTTTTCCTTCCTCCAACTTTTCGGAGAAACACAAGGGCCTGCAAGATAAGCATTAAAATTATTTCATTTTCCTGAAATAAAACAACTCTTACAACTATCTTTTTCAGTCCTGGTTATATACCTGAGCAGCGAGTCCAGTTACAATAGCAGCTAATAAATAATCATGGCAAAGAAGATCCACAAAAGTGAATAACATAATGTCGACGGTGAGGAGGATCCATTCATTCCCATAAAAAAGCACAGCATCAAATGAATGTCCATTGTCTGGGTTAGGAAAAATATTAAAAACTTAGGTATAAAAGAAATTGCGGAACACAAAACACAGGATCTTTGAAAGTTCAATATCTTACCAATATATAAGACTCCTTTATCTTGATTTTGTGCAAATTCCATGTCAAGAACTGATTCTAAGAAGAGCTTAGAGCGGACCTCATAGTCAAGATCCTTGAGAGCCTGTTAACAACAATTTTAAAATCTAGTTACAAAACAAAATTCTTACTTGCTGATGAGTAGACTAAGTTACATACATGTTCTAGAAAGGCAGCAAGAAGTTTGTTCATACTGTGGTAAGCTTGAACACTTCTATCAACTGTTGTAGCCAAGGGCTTCCGCTGAGCTGTAATACTTGACAGCCTTTTGGATGACGGGACAACCTGAAAGAAATCCGTAAGACTGGAGGGAATGTTCTCATGATGCAGTAATAGAGAGAAAGTAATTGGTACTTGTGACTTACAGAATGGGTAAGTGGAGCCATAACTTTCCTGTAGCATGCCCTTAGTTGACTTGGTATCATCATTTGGAAAGTTTGTTGTTCAGTTGCTGGGAGGAGTCCTCTGTGACCTACCAAATCATCCTCCTCTCTTTGCAACTGTCCTAACATGGTCTGCATATCAGTGTCTGCGAATCCATGTACAGACCTGTAAATTTTTCAAACAATATGTCTAGTTTCATTTTATACAAAACCATACTATTCAACTCATTCCAAAAAGTTACCAGTTACCTTCCATGTATGTAGTATCCAAAATTTTCAAGGGACAATATGAAAACACTGACATTTGCCATAGAACAAACATCAACAAAATCTTGCACAAAATTTTTCATGAACCTTTCATAAACACCACTTAATAAGAGCCACTGAAATAAATCAGATTAAATTTAAAGTTTTTTTTTTTTAAATAATGAATTGCTGATACAATACACACATTACATCAAAGGTGGATCAAACTTACTTGTAAAATGTATACACCTAGATAGACAAGAATCGCCAATGCGAAACGACATACAATGTTAGGTGGAGGGGTTCCTGAACAACCAGAGTTGTTGAAAGTTGCGTCTGGAATAGGTAAAGCCCATTGCTCCCAGCCAAAAACCTGCAAAATTATTCTTTGATTAGGGTGAAGTTTAGATAATTCAATAGTAATCTTGAACAGGGAAAGCAAATAACCTTCAGAAATAGAAGAACAACCAGCAACTGAAGAGAGAGGCTAGTCTTTCTGAGGGTTTGAATTTCATTCCATTCATTAGCCACAAAGTAAGTCCTCCAAATAGAAATTTTTTGTGATTCCGGAACACTATTGTGATTAGCTGATCCATTTGCTTGGGGCCTAGGAAGGTTCCCACTGGCTCTTGGTCTTTCCCAATCCATTAAAAATATGTCTATGGAAATTTGATGCCAGATCATGTGTGCCATTTCAACAATCTAGAAGATGATTATGAAGGCTTAAATAAACAATCAATCAGGGTAGTTGAAAAACAGAGAAATTGTAAGAAAATTTACTTACCTTTAAAGAAAATGCTACAACTACATAAGTGAAAATTAAATATTCCTCATAAGGTCCAGGCAAGAGCATATGTGGAACTGACTGTCCCTTGTAGAATAAAAATGTGTGGGTAGCAGCACCAGCCACTACTATGAAAAAGGAGTCAGACAAACGGCCACAGGTTAGCAGGACTAAGCGGAACAATGAGGCAAGATCAACTCCTACTTTTCCTGCTCTGCGAGAGTAAGAGAGTGTTTGGATGCCAGCCCAGACAATGGAAAGTACCGAGAGGACAATGATTGATACCTGTTGGGATAAGAGAGATAATAAGAAGAAGTAAAATAACAAAACACAAGCATCACAATAAATAAAAGACTACCTCAATGGCATGGGCTACATTGTTGTCCATTTCAAACACAATCTCAAATTGAAGAGGTACCATCATGTTATTTTGCAAAGCTTCAGATGAAAGTTCAGCATACTCAATAATAGCAAGAGGTGGAAATACTCGTCCTTTATCATTACCAGTCTGAACTCTGATTCTGAAAACATATGGTTTCAGATTGGCAAATAAATTTGACAAATAATTGGGATAGGTAACAATATAACTGCAAGTACGACAAACCTCAAGCTTAACGATTTGGCATATTGCAAAACTACTGGAACTAGACCTTCCTCTGCTTCAGACAAACCTCCATCGGTCTCTGGTTTACTTCTAACGCCACTGATTGCTTCCGACAAGAAGAAGCGACGAACCAATTGCCATCCAGACTTATCAGTTTCCTTTAAGAGAAAATAGTATAAAAAAAAATTAGAAACATTAAATACTCTAGTCTTATCTCAAAAACAGAAAAACAAATAGTTACCTTATTTGGAAAACGGGATCCATCTTTCAAGTTTAAAGTGAGTACAGGTAAAGCATAAAGCATGGAATCACTTTTATCCCAATACTGTAGGTACAACTCAAAAAATTTTGGTTGCTGACCTACAGAAAATAACAAAGAGGCAGGGACAGCACAATCTTGCCTGAAGTTTGCCCCAAATCTTATTTTGCCCCATGATCCAGGGCATAAGCTTAAAATGTCTAATGAAGCAGAAGCCAGACCCAAAAAGAGTCCATTGGAGGCAAATTTTGCTACCGTCAAATTAAGCAGATTGCCCTGGAAAAAAAAATAACACATTTTTGGAAAATTGTATGTGACACAAAGTTTGACCTCGACGAAGATAAATACCTTTGATGAACTGTCAAGGCTGTAGCTGGACAGAATTTTCTTCCTGGAAAGAACTGTTTGGGCATCTCCTTCTCCATAGAAAATCCAAGGTAAATGACCTGTTTCTGCAGTTGGTATGTGTTTGGCATCTCGGAAAAAGTTGCAGGGACTCCCTCTGTACCCATCACGGAACATTGCCATAACGCACATATTTGCCACAGCTTGACAGGCGGTGTGATTTTTTTGCTAATGATGAAAAGTTTATTTAGGTATTACAAAATAAAATTGAAACCCCATTTAAGGCCAGGTAAATGCCACAAAGCACTAACTTTGCACTGATACGCTGCCAGACGTAGATTGTTTCGAAGATAAAGAGAGTCAACTTTGATTCCAGATCCATACTCAACGGTGTATGTTGTTCTGTCGTCAGGAAAATCAAGGAGATGTGTTCTTGGGATGCAATAAACTTTGTTTACTAGTTCATGAGAAACTTGAGGGCAGGAGCAATTTTCAAAAGCAGGGTACATGACACATCTCCTACAAGTACGTTTATCTTCCGTAGGTACAAAGTTGACTCCGCACTGAAGGCAGTAAGCAACTGCATTTAATGAACCATTGGTACTTCTTTCCACTGTAGGGGTGATAAAAATAGAATTTATAAAAGATAATGGCATTACTCAGGGTCAAAAGACTGAACTTAGCACAAAAAAAATACCTCTTATTTCTGATATGGAGCATGGGGAACATGAGACTGACTCATTGCTTTGAATCTGCAGTTTTTTTGAACATGGTACACAGTCTAAACCATCTGTTGTCACAACTTGGTTGTCAGGACATCTTTCACAGGTAGGAAATCCAGCTGCATCCCACTTTCCTATCTTGTGCTGTGGGCCACAAATGCATGTTTTACCTGAAAAATTTATAATTAAACATGAGAAAATTTTAAGCTAAAAGTATCACAGAATAGAAAGATAAAAACATATTACGTACAAGTCAAAATTTAGTGGAGAAGGGAATTCAATAAAAACATGCAGTACTCACCATCAGGGGATGGTACCAGGCCTCGCTGGTCTTCACATGGAATACATCGAAGGGAAGTTGCATCATAAACTTCGTTCTTTTTGCAGTCTGCGGCCTTACGAAAATGGACTGCTTCTCCTGCAGGAGAGACCTGGGTAACCCAATTCAACATAAGGAAGGCCAGCAGCCCAGTGAAAATATAGTAAACCATTGTGGCATTCCATTATTCAAAGACAAATGTTTGCAAGTGTAGGCAACATGGGGCAATGCTCACAGGTCCTCATGGCGAGGTACTTACCGATGACGATTTGCTATCAGTACCTTACAACGGCCCACAATAGGCTTATTTTTCTTCAATGCTTTTTCAAATCAGAGGTGAACAGTGGAGGCAGTAAAGATTTTAACGGTACCCGGCCGTGAGATTTGTCGGCGTTAGGTTGGCAGTAAAACTGTGTTCCGCTCCGCCGCCGCGACCCCTTCCCTTCTTCCCTTCACCGGTCACCGCGAGCCGCGGCCGCGGGCTCCCCCTCCTCTCCCCCCACAGTTTCTTTAACCCCTTCCCTTGTCCCTCCTGTGGGGAAGGACACCGTAAGGCACCGGTTAGTAGAAGGGCTGCAAAATAACTCAAGCACAAGAGTAGAAGTTTTTTTTTTTGGAAAATTATGGACTGGTGAACATGAACATCAGTTTAATTCATTTATCATGAAGTGTTGCCACTTGTTTAAAGCAACTGATTTTTACAACTCTTAGTTTTCTCTCAGATCTTGGATAAACTGTAAAACTAATTGCTTCTCGTTTTCTTCAATCAGGCTGTCCACAAATTTTTGAAATGAATCCCCGCCTTGCATAAACTCTTTCACATTGTGAACAGTAATGTGAGCTCTATGATCTGTGATACGGTTTTGTGGAAAGTTGTAGGTCCTAATTTTAGCTGAACGTTCACGGTTTCTTAGCTGCCAAATAGAAGAAAAAGTTAGGACTTCATTTTATCCAAATTTGGAAGTTAAACATGCAACAAGAAAGTAGCTGGGTGTGTTTGAAAAAGTTAATTAGTGAACATAGTTGGTACCTGTGATACACGTGTTGTCTTTATTTCTTGATTTTGCTTCTGAATCTGAATATCGTAAAGTTTAGTTCGTAACTTCTTCAAAGCAAGTTCTCTGTTTCTATGTTGTGATTGCTGTTCTTGACACTCTACTACAAGACCTATAAAAATTAATCAAAAATTATTATTTAAGTTATAATTAACTGTTATATAAAATCTATTCTCGTCCTTGAGAACATACCAGAGGGCAAGTGTCTCACACGTATGGCTGATTCTGTTTTGTTCACATTTTGTCCTCCAGGTCCAGAGGCTTTCATGGTTTCAATGACCAGGTCTTTGTCCTCCAGTTTAATATCAACCTTAAAAACATTCAGGGCAGGAATTGATGTAGGCACATTCGATTAAGACTGGCAAGACTTCGTTTTTCCTAACTTACGTCAGACGGTTGAGGCATTATAATGACTGCTGCCGTGCTTGTGTGGATCATTCCCGCAGTGGATGTAACTGGGACGCGTTGTACTCTATGAACACCAATTTCATTCTGCAAGTAATAATATGCCCCTTCGCCCTGTATGAAAATGGATGCACTCTTTATTCCTCCTGCAGATGAAGAAATCATGACATTACTAAAGGATATCAATCTTTTTACAGATTAAGCTCATTTACTATACCTATGTCTGATTTATCTAACGATTCTATAAAAAAAGTCCAGCCTTGTGAAGCAGCATAATTTTCATAGAGTCGTAGTAGTTCATTAGCAAATAGCATGGCCTCTTGCCCTCCAGCGCCAGATGAGATTTCCATCATAATATCTGTGTAATTCTCATGTGTGCTTCTGGGTAAGATGGTCCTTAATATCTGAAAGGAAGTCATTGAAAAATAATGACAGCAGTAATTTTAACAATGGATATAATGATGACCAGCCCAACATAGGATACTCACTTCATCATCCAATTCAGCTAATTCATTATAATATGAAGAAAGCTCTTCTTCAGCTAGTTTCCTCAATTCTTTGTCACTTGTTTCCCCTGAAAAGGCTCATGTAAATCATGTTGGATTCGATGATATTTTATTTGATGGTATTGAAGAAAAATGCCTTACCTTGTTCAAGTTCATTCAAAGAGCTAATATTTGTTAGGACAGATTCTCTCTGAGCTAGCAGATCGAGAAGTGTATACCAATAATTCGGCCTTTTCCAACCCTTAGTTTTACTTGCGTCAATGAGGCCTGATAAATATTTCTTCATGCATGGCTCGTCCATACTGACAGCAGGAGCATTTTGACTATACAATGCAGAATGCTGTGGCTTGAGAAACCCACACCAGAGGCTGGTTTCAGAATTTCTTCGAAAACACATAACCTTGTTTTTCACATGGTATGACGTTAGTTTCTTTGCACATTCTCTGAATAATGAGGCCGACGTTCGAAGGTAAAGTCTTTGGGCACAAAATCCTAACATATTCAACCTTAAGAAGTCGAGGAAACACTAAAAAAACGACTCAATTAAAAACGAAAACACAGAGGTTGAAGCAGAAGCTCCATCAGCTGACGGCTTTGCTTTTTTCCTTCAGATAAATCAGTAAAAGTAGATTCTGACGACGACGTTTCACACTCTGCAGCTCAAATAAATCTACGCTGTTACGTTTCACGAGCTGTCATCGGAAAATTGTAGTCAGTTCACGAGTTTTCTTTAATTTTCTACCGCATACGGGCGGCTGTTTTGAAGTTGAAGGAATCGACGACTGAATTTGCCATACCAGCAGCAGTGCGTGCTTCGCGTATGCGCAGGAGGAAAGAGCGCGTGACTCAAATCAGGCCGCGCACCTGGACACAGGTACAATGAGGGGAATCAGGGGCAATGCTTCGGGATTCGAGTTCGGAGCACGCACCCAGGCGACGTCCTGGAATGCCGCCGCGGCCGCGGGGTGGGAGTCGCTTGCTTCGCCGTGTGCAGGGCAGCAAGCCGCGCTCGCGGGCGGTGGCGGGGCGGCGCGGCGCCGACGACGCGACGCGACGCGACGCTTTACCCTCGGTGCCGTGGTGCCGTGGCGAGTGGCGGTGCGGCCGTTTGGGTCCCCGGCCCCTCCCGGCCCCTCGTCGCCTCGCCCCCTGTCGACGCGATGCGCGAGTGTCTTTGCGGGGCGGGGCGAGGCGGGGCGGGGCGCGGCGTGGCCAGACGGTGGTTGGTGGCCTGGCTGGCGGTGCTGGCGGTGCTGCCTTAGTGCTCCTCGCTCTGCCCCAAGCGCAAGCGGCGCCTCACACTGCCGGGCCGAGGCCGAGCCAGGCCGACGGGCCGACAGGCCGACGGGACGGGAATGCTGGTCCTCGTCGTCGAGACCGTGCCGGAGCCAGCGTGGCGGCCACAGTGACGCGGACGCGCGGCGCACTGCGTGCTGGAAAGGACCGAGAGACGCGGTGCAGCGGGCGACGACCGCGACGACGCGCGTGATCGGCGTGCAGGCATGCGTGCGGGCGGGCGTGCTCGAGTCCGCGCCCTGACCCCGAGCGAGGCCCGGAAGGCCCAGAGCCGGCAGGCCGGATGTGTTTTGCAGTGCAGACTCCGTCATCGCCGACCTCGCGGACCACGCGCACCAGGCGGATCGGAATCAGCCAAGTGCCGCAGGGACTGCAGGGACTGCAGGGACCCACGAGACCCAAGGGACGGGGGTCCCTGCTCCAGCCGATAGCCGCGGGGGTGGCCGTCGACACCACGGCGCCGTCGGCGAGTCCTCGAGCTAGTCCGCGCGGCAGGACGGGCTCGGGGCCCCCGGGGCCGCCGTCCAGGCCCACCCCGTGCACGGCGTGCACCATGGGTGTCCGCCGGCGGAGCAGCTCCGAGACGGCGCCACGATACTCAGGTATCCATCCAAGCAGCTCGTCCGGCGGGGCTTGAACCCGCTACCCGGGCGCGTCGCAAGTGAGCCGTCACGACCGTGTCACTTTGCAGCTGCAACTGCACCCCGTCCCCTGCCCGCGGCCCGGGCAGGCCCGGGGCATGATATGATCTGGCCAATGTGGTGGATGCGATGGAGGCGGTGTCGGCTTGCTGGCACCGCGCTGGCACCACGCCCAAACCGACCTTGCGCCTTGCCGCTTGCGCCCTGCTGCTTACGCCTTGCGCGCGGCAGGGCGGCCAGGGCGGCCAGGGCGCAGAACGCCGCCGGGTCGCCACCGCGTCGTCGCCGAGCCCTCCACCCTCCGCCAGCAGCGCCGCGTTCGACAGCCACGTGGGTCTGCGCAATGCGGTGCATGATTCCTCGAGAGAGACTCGCGGAGACTCGCCACGCCCCGCCGTGCCGTGGCAGTGGAGCAGCTAGAGCACCAGAGGCAGCCTGCCAGCCATCGGGATTGGCCGCGACGCAAGGCGCAAGCAAGGCGAGGCAAGGCGGCGCGCGAATTCAAACAACACGTTGTCACGTGTGCGCTGTCGGGCGGCCACCCACGCCGCCGGGCCGTGCCGCCGTGTCGCCGTGTCGCCGTGTCGCGGCTCGCCTTGCGGGTTGGGTCAGGGCCGCCGGGGTAGGGCCGCGGTAATGTGCTTATCGCTGAGCCGGTTAGGCTGTTAGGCCGCAGGTGCAACAGCGGCATGCAACAGCCCGCAGCATGCGACGCAACGCGACGCCGTCGTCGTCACCTCGGGGACCCATTAGCAGCAGCAGCCGATTGCGAACAGTGCTTTCGTCGCTCTGTCGCCCTCGCACTCACGAGGCGCCCTGCAGGGCCCGTAGGGCTGTGAGAGAGACAGAGTGCAGCAGCGGCAGCAGCCCGCCCAGGGTCGCCATGGCAACGCGACGGCTTCCTCGCGCGCCCACGCGGCCCGCACCTCACGCGGGGAAGGGGGTGGGGGCAGCCGGTTAATCAGAGGGCAATATTGGGTTTGGCGTATTCAATTTATTTTCTTTCCGCCGCCTCGCGGGCGCGAGTCCAATGTGGAAGAATTCTAGGGGGTGGGCCGGCGCGGCCGGGCCGGGCCGGGCAGGGTACGGCTGCGGTGCGGGGCGTTAGCCTCTGCCCCGTAAAACTTTAGTTGGCGATGATTATCCGCGGGTCGGTGCCAATGCGCCGCGCTCTCTGCCGACTGGTTGCTCTGTCTCTCTCGCGCTCGTAGGGCGTCTCGTAGGGGTGCGACAGAGACAGACCGACGAAGCACTGTTCGGAATCAGTCTGCTGGCCGCCGCCGCGTGGCTCAAAGAAGGAACAGAAACCTTCGCGTCCGTGCAAAGCGCGCCGGCTATTTCGGACTTTCGGACCCGCCGCGCCGCGCACACGCACGCCAATGGGGTAGCTCAAAGCGCGTGTCATAGAGCGAGTCATAGACGCTGCCGCGGCGGTAGTCCTGCACGTTGTTTCACACGGGCGTTCGAAGCTTCGCACGCCGGCGCCGTGCTCCCCGCCGAGCGGGCGCCTTGGCTTGACCCGCGGGCGGTCGCGACGAGGGCGAGGCGGAATGGGGCGGGGCGGGGCGGGGTGGTGGCCGGTGGATTGAGGGTGCCGTGCCGCGGCGATGCCTCTTGACATTTTGACAGTCGGTGGGGCCGAGGCGCGCGGCCCAGCCATGCCGATGGCTCCATCGCTGATTAATGGCACCTCGCGCTGCCGCGCCGTGCCGTGCCGTGCCGCCACGCCCTGGCCGCCGCGGCTCCGTGCCACCGAAATGCCGCGCCACCCAAAGACACCCAAAAGCGCGGTGGCGCCGCCAAACTGATGATGAACCCGCCGCGACATTTTGCGTCGCTGCCGCCGCCTGCTTCTGCGAGTCATGCGGGGAGACAGAGAGAGCAAGCGAAAAGGGAGAGAGAGAGAGAGAGAGAGAGAGAGAGAGAGAGAGAGAGAGAGAGAGAGAGAGAGAGAGAGAGAGAGAGAGAACGAGAGAGTCGCAAAGTCGCGGCCCGGTCCTTTTCGAAAGGTCAGAAACGGTGTACAGCCCCGCCTGCGCTGCCTGCAGACTGATTCCGAGAGTCGTTTTCATCACCCTGTCTCTTTTGCACTCATGGGGCGTCCCCTGTAGATGCAAGAGAGACAGAGCGACGAAAACGGCTCTCGGAATCAGGCTACTGGCTACTCGCGCCTCGCGCCTCGCTGGTCGCGTCTGTCGGCGGAGCGCCTGGCAAGCGGGCCGGCCCGCCGAGGCGGCCAGTGCCGCGGGCCTGCCTGCTCGCACGGCGCTCGCCGCGCTCCAGGCCAAGGCCTGGACAAGGCCGTCGTCCAGTGCGATTTAGTTGGCGGTGTGCTGACCCGGCGATACTCCATGCGCTGGAGCCCTACCGCGAGACCGGCATCAAAAGCCACTCGGCCACGGAGTATCGCCGGCCGATAGCACAGACTGACCGGCCTCGTGGAGGTGGAGCCCCCCGCCGTGTTTACGTTGGGGCCGATGCACGGCGAGGCGGCGTGGTGGCGCGTGGCCCATCGCGCTGTGGCGCTGGTCGGGGTGCGGCCCCAGGGGCCGTGGCGCTGCGAGCAGGGCGAGACGGGCCGGGTTGCTAGGGGGCAAGTTCGGGGTCCCTGCCGATACCCGAACTCACGCCGCTCACACGGCCCGCCGTTGTCGCCGATGCAGGGATGGATCCCCGGATAATTTATTGTGACGAGCTCAAATGTTAACGCTGGCGGCCGGCCAGCGGGCTGCCTCATGCGGCCATGCGGGCCATGCCCGCGGCTAAATGCGTCCTATGGGAGGGACGGCAGGCGCCATGCGGTGCTATGCGGTGCTATGCGCGGACAAGCGCTCCGCGGCTCCGCGCTTCGCTCCGGACAAGCGGCGCATAATGGGACGCAGCGACGTGCACGGTGCGCCACGTGTACTTCCGTTTTAATTTTAAGAGCGATCGCGCTTCCTTGGATTTTCCCATAAAATCCACCGGGGTCCGTCTTCGCAGTGGACTGATGTGGGCGGCTGGAAAAGTGCTTTCGACGCTCTGTTTCCCTCGCACTGATGGGGCGTTTCCTAAGTGTGTGTGAGAGAGAGAGACAGACAGAGCGGTGCACCGATGCAGCCAGGGGGTCGTCAAAGGGCTGCCAGACGCGCTGCCAAAACCGCGGGCAGGGGGCGAGGCGAGGCGAGGCCTGTCAGAAGACGGCGGCGCGCGTTGCACCCGGAAGCGGCAGGCGGCTCGGCGACGGCATGGCGACGGCGACGTCCACGTGGTGCAACCCTAGCCGGCCACCCAGCCACGCTGGCGCCGTTCTCGACCAGCAGACTCATCCCGAGAGTCGTTTTCGTCGCTCTGTCTCGCTCGCACCTATACGGGACGCCTTATGAGTGGGAGCAAGACAGAGCGACAAAACGGACTCCCGGAATCAGTCTGCAGCCCAGCCCCCTGACGACGCCCACGACGGCGACAGGGTTGTTAACGTTAAATTAACGGTTAACGGCGTTACGACGTTAACGTTAAAGTTAATTTAACGTTAACGGTAACTCGTTAACATTCGGATAGTCCGTAACGTTAACGCGTAAACGTTACGCGACCCCTGTAACTTTAACGACGTTAAAGTTAATTACGGCACTAATTATGCAAAATATTCGGTCTAAAAATGACTTGGAAGAGATTTTGACATGCATTTGGGTCAACTAAACCTCCTTATTTCCGTATTTTAACAGTCAAAAATTAACATGACTCATTTCTTAAATCGTCCCACAGAGGCATTTTTGGTAGATTTAGTAAACAAACAGAATTTTTCATCGTTTAAGTAGAAGCAGGGTTAACTTTAACGGCCGTTAAACGTTACGCGTAACGTTAACGCGTTAAACTTTTGCTGATACCCGTAACTTTAACGCGTTAACGTTACGGGTCTCTTGGTTAACGTGTAACTTAACGCGTTACGTTTTAGATTTAACGTTAACAACCCTGGACGGCGACGTCCCGGTGTCTGTCCCTCCGTCTCCGCGGAGCGTGCCGCCGCGCCGCCGCAGCCACGTCGTCACGGTCGCGTCGTCACGGTCACGCGGTCCGTGTCACGAGCGTGACCCCGCGCCTCGCGGATTTAGCATTCAGCGCGAAGCGCGAAGCGCGCCCAGCGCGCCCAGGGATGGACAAGCGCGAAGCGAGTCCGAGAATAGCTTCGGGGAAAATAAAGAAAATGCCTTACCGGCGTGCCGTGCCGCCACCGGCCGCCGCGCATGTGTGTGCACGTGTGTGTCGTTCTGACAATCACACACTGCGTGCGCGTGCATCGGTGTGCGACTTGCATCGACACGTATAAATAGGGCCGCCTCCCCCTCCCCTCCCCCTTACTCATCGCCAACACGCCACGCAGTCGGCACCCGTTCTGCACTCGGGAGGCGTTTATAAACGCGGCGGTCGTGGCGCGGCGTGGCGCGGCGTGGTCTTTGACGTCACGCCGGGAGCCGGGACGCTGCCTCCCCCTCCCCGCCGCCCTCCAAGGCGTGCAATGAAGCGGTAATTTATTGGCCGTGGAGATTGGCCCGGTGGCGGGGGCGGAGTGACAGAGACGCAAACAGAGACGGAGTGGGGAAGGGAGAGAGAAGAGAGGCCGCCGTCGAGGTCCTCTCCTCCTCTGCGATGTCTCCGACCCAAGGTCCGGACCGCCCGCGCGCCCCGCCGCGCCACCTCCCCCTTTTTGTCCAGCAGACTGACTCCGCGCACAACGTCTCGGCTGCCTATCTCACGAGCGCACCTGTGTGGACCTCCCCACGAGCCTGCAGTGCCCCAGACGGTTGTGCCGCTTTGACGGTGGGACGGGCTGGGACGGGCGGCCAAACTGTCAAAGTGTTGTGATCGGCGATATGGATAGGGTGTGTCGCACTGCGGGGCTGCCAGCCGCCTGCCTGCCTGCGTGCCTGCTCCTTTCCCACGAAAAGTGAGACGCGTCATCGCGCGCAATGCCACATGTTTAT